TTTTGTCAGTCATGGGGCTTGAACTCAAGGCCTGGGCACTATCCCTGAACTTTTTCTGCTCAAGGCTAGTGCTCTACCACTTTGAGCCATAGTGCCACTTCCAGTTTTCTGATGGTTAATTGGAAATAAGAGTCTCAACAATCTTTACTGCCTGAGCTGGCCTTGAAGAATGATCCTCAGATTTCAGTCTTTTGAGTAGCTAGGAATATAGGCATGATCCATTAACACCTGGATTTTTTTTTTAATGTATGGTACTGGAGTTTGATCTCAGTGTCTCATACTTGCAAGGCAGGTGTTCTACCACTTAAATCACTCCATCAGCCTTTTTTGCACTGGTTATTTCAAGAGAGAGTCTCCCTTTATGTCCAGATATCATAATCTCCAGACATTGGTCAAGATAGAGTCTCTCAAAAAATTTTTTTACTCTCCTCAAATGGTTATTCCCCAATCTCCTAAGGAGCTAGGATTACAGGTTTGAGCCACTATACCTGACATGCATGTGAGAGAGAGAGAGAGAGAGAGAGTGTGCGCGCGCGCCAGAGAATGAAGGAGACTGTAAAGAAGACTGAACCCAGGGCCTGAGTGTTGCCCTTATCTTTTGCTCAAAGCTTGTACTTTGCCACTTTAGCCACAGCTCGACTTCTAACTTTTTGGTGACTAACTAGAGATGAGTCTCATGGTCTTTCCAGCGAGGGCTAGCTACGAAGTGTTATCTTCAGAACTCAGCCTTCTGAGTAACTAGAATAACAGGTATGAGCTATTGGCAACCAGCAAAAATAATTACCAAATAAAATATTTTAAATCAAATTTTGGGCTGGGAAGATGACTTAGTGGTAGAGTGCTTGCCTTGTACGCATGAGTCTATGAGTTCAATACCTCAGCACCACATAAACAGAAAAGGCCAGAAGTGGCGCTGAGGCTCAAGTGGTAAAGCACTAGCCTTGAACTGAAGAGCTGAGGAACAGAGCCCAGCACCAGAGGTCAGGCCCCACAACCGACAAAGAAAAAAAATCAAATATTACTTAATATCACTTGTTCTAGGCTTTATTCATCATACTTTTCATAGCATAATTATGCTATAAATTTGTTTGAGTGTCACTCCACTCATACATGTAATAATATGAACTTATAAAGCCTACTGCTCTATGCCCAGTACCTACTGTATATATAGGATCAAATGGACTCAATATGATTATTTAGAAATGCAACGCTCCATTTTTTAAATGTCATATAAATTTATACTCATATAATTTAGAAAGTCTTCAATTTAATGGTTCAGAACATAATTAAGAACTACGCATTCCTCAGGGCCTCAAGCTTGATAGGTAGAGGCTCTACCTATTAATTATGCTGTACCATCATCCCCTTCTCCTCCCTCTCACCCCAGCCCACACAGGCCAACCTTCTAATGAACACTTGGGGCAACAAATTGAGCAAAGAAGAAATAACTCAATTAAATAAGCCAATATCTTACAACGACATACAGGAAGCAATCAGAAGTCTTCCAACAAGGAAAAGCCCAGGAACAGATGGATTCACACGGAATTCTATAAGACTTTTAAAGAAGAACTAATACCCATACTCCTCAAGCTCTTCAGAGAAGTAGAAAAAGAGGGAGCTATCCCAAACTCATTCTACGATGCCCATATCACACTCATCCCCAAACCAGGCTAAGACCCAACAAAAAAAGAGAACTACAGGGCTGGGAAGGTGGCTCAGTGGTAGAGTGCTTGCCTTGCATGCATGAGGCCCTGGGCTCGATTCCTCAGCACCACATACGCAAAAAGAAAAAAAAGCCGGAAGTAGCACCATGGCTCAAGTGGTAGAGCACTAGCCTTGAGCTGAAGAGCTGAGGGACAGCGCCCAGGACCAGAGTTCAGGCCCCACGACCAGACCCCCCCCCCAAAAAAAAATAATTTAAAATAAAAGAAAAAAGGGCTGGACCTGGGAAGGTGGCTCAGTGGTAGAGTGCTTGCCTTGCATGCCTGA